AACATTGAATTTTCCTAAATTCTAGAATAAGCTAGATTACACTATCTAAACTAGGTCAAACATGAACGCGATATCTAAAAGGCTTTTCACGCGGTCACTTTCTTTAGAACCCACTGGTTACTGGCAACTCTAAAACGTGACGTCGTATGTTGTAATAGGCGGGCAGCACAGCTCGTTCCCGGCAGGCTATAACTAGGATTTCGTGTTTTCGGAGTTTATTTCTCGTGAAATTCGGAGGTTTTTTTCGAAGGATTCGGGGTTTATCGGAATTAATTTTTGTTAGATTCCCAATTCTTTAAATTCTGAGTTTATTTTACTGCATAAAATTACAAAAAAAAAAATTCAAGAACAAAATAAATAAAGTCCGGGTACCATCATCCAGGCACGTAGCCAGGATTTTGTTTCGGGGTTGGGCGGGGGGGGGCACCCATGACAAAATGCTGTATGAGGGGGAGGGGGAGAGGAGGTGCCAACAAAATGGAAAATATTTGGGGGGAAGGCCGGGCCCCATGCCCCCCTGGCTCGACGTGCTAAAAGGCAAACCCCTTTTGTTAGTACTTCTAGATCTCAAAGGAAGCTGAAGTAGAATCTCCTCGGGACCACTGAACCACTGACCTTATGCTTTAATAAAGTTCAGTTCTAAAACTTCGTCTTTTTTGCTGTTTATTTTGTTGCTGTGACCTCGAAATTAGAAGTTTTTCGGATAAATCCGAATTGACGGAACATTTACCCGCGAATGTTTTTCGGATTTTTTCGGATTTATTCAAAAACACGGAACCCTAGTCATAACGAGTTTGTAAATGCGAAATGGACGATGGGAAAAAAAAATTCATCAGCAAAACGATAAAAAAAAACGTGCAAAATTATGGTTTTCTTAAGCCGCCTGCTCGACCTGCAGTTTCTACAACATGCTACGTCACCCAACTGGAGAACGTGGGAAAATTTTCTGTTTGTTTTGGCATACATTTTTGTCATTTTCTCAGCAGCTATTTTTAATTAAGAGATTAATAAATAGCATACCGGGAAGAGTAAGGCCGGGTATTCGGAAATTACGTTAAGTTTTTTTGGTAGCTCAGAAATCCGCCTTTTAAAAAACTTGAAACTCGGAGTTTTTTTGGGGGGATGGTTGGTACGTGATAAGAATTAAGAAATTAGGGCGAGTTATTATTAGATTGCGTGCTTGTTTCGACGTATCGGATAAAAGAAAATCATGAAACTTTTTTTTTTATTACTCTGATGCCGGTAGCGTAAACTGGAACCGCTGGCAAGTAGATGCGACGGTACGACTCATTACTGATATGTGCTTCGTTGTTATTAACACAGTGCCTCAATATGACCTTCGTATGTTGCTATGGTCATGAGAAACATGGCCGCTCATTGAGGTTGTGCGACACTTCCTTACCGAAAAATCTAATATAACGTTTCACTATTCCAGAAATCCAGATTGCAGACGAAGGAATAATTTCTGAAAACCTAAAATCCAGATGGAGTCCGTATAGAATCCAGATAGATATCCGGTTCCATAATTCGGATAGTGAAAAGTTATACCGGATTTTTCGGTAGGGTTCCAAGATAGCAAGTGCGTGGAATAGAATGTTCACGAGTACTGTGTCAGCATTCGGGGCTTGCGATTCGTGCTTCCAAATGTCGAACTCTAAAGCAGCCCGACGCTACACTCTCAACAAAAGGGTTGTCGTGGGGTACTAGCTTTGGGGTAGTCAGAAGCCGTCACAGATATCGCTACCCCACCTTCGTTATACCGACAACCCCACGGGTAATCACACGGCACGCAATCAACGGGTTGCCAAAGTGAGCACCCCCAAAAGCAACATGGCGGCTGGCAAGCGACAGTGGAGCAGTACGAGTAAGGCCTAGCGAGCTGGACTGCTTTTTGCTAAAATACGATTCTCAAGTGCGTGCGCCCGTTCGCGGCCTTCCGTGCGCACTGAAGCACTCCAAAACGCGCCTCGAACCACGGACACCGCACGTATTACGAGTAGAGGCGACGATGTGAAAGGAAGGGGGGCATTTGAGGGGGTTGTCCGCGACTGCTTTCGCGCGGCCGGCTGCATTTACTTCGCGACCAGAAAAAATTCAAGAAAGGAATCGTATAGCGACAAATGGAATGATATCTTTATTGAACAGAGCGTCTCCTTGCTGTGCTTGCCGCAAGTGATCCGTCGGTTTCGGTTGACAGCGGCGAGGCGAAGCATCACCGATTTAAGCGGCGTCGGTTCCGATCGTTCAATGCTCCTGCTCACCTGTTAGCATTCGTTATCCACTTCCAAGTCCCTGGTAATCCTCACCGCGTTTGTGCACGCACTTCGCGCTATTCACCGCACGGAACACCCATTCAACTGGCTATAAGACTGATCTCACTGGGACGAGAGGCTGAGAACCGAACCCTTTGGGGCTGCTCCGTCGAGCCATGGAACGCCTCCATGTTTTTCACTCAAATAAGTAGACACATAAACGCGCGACTCCTTGAATTGGGCGGCGCCACGCGCCACCTAACGGACAGGGCTCAAACTAGAAAAAAACGAAACCAACAGTCTTTATGTTCAGCGCTTCGCCAGACATTCACGTATGTACATATTCTACTACACACTTCACACATACCCGACATACAGACACCACTGCATTCTACACAGGAACGCGTTCAGACACAGCACAAGGTACTATATGAGACATTGACACTCTACATTCCTATACACACGTCTACTCGACACCGCCACCTTATATACTGCTGTATTTTCTGTGACCGATTAGGATGGTGACCACTGTCATATTTTGCATAAATACGAAAAGACTGTGCAAGGTTTACGCGTATATATTATTTTCCTCTACTGCCCTTAGGAAAGCGCTCGTATCTCTAATGTAATCCATTGCAAAAGTGAACTGCAGGTTATGAATAAATTTGAATAGTTGCTACACGTCACGTTTTGATCAGTTTCGTTTTCTCGCTAGCCTACACTTTAAGTATACATAAGCCTGTTTAATTGATTGTATTAATTATCGAAAACAATTTCTGCAATCACAACTTTCTGAACACGCTGATGCATTTTCTTTTCTCTTTTTACATATCCGAATGACTTCAGCGGCGGTTGAGTAAATGTTGAGTACACTGAGCGCGCGCAGGTGATTCTAGCGAAGCCCGCCCGCCGGTCCTCCCCGAAGAGTTGTTTCAGTTTTCTTCTTTTAGCTACAATTGTTTCTGCTCAAGCGTGTGTCTTTCAAATATGCGTTCTATGCGCTCGCGCTCGCGCCAAGAGGACAGTGCAGAATTGCCGCTTTCGGGCCCGTGCCTTCACCTGCAACGAACGCGAAATACGTATGCTAAATTATGTAAAGCCTGGTTCAGACAGTGGCGTTTGACTGCGTCTGACTGCGTTGCGGCAGCGAGAAACCAGGGCATCCCTGCTGCTTACATCGCGTGCGAAGATGATTCCTTGAATTGGATTCCACGCTTCATACGAAGCACAGTCGTGCCGGTGAGTCGCTTTCGGTTCTCGACGCAAAGCTGTCAAACTCATTCAAACGCAAGTGTCTGAACCGGCCTTACCGCTCATTCACACTGGAAGCGGATCCGCGTTTGCAAAGCGGTTGCGAACGCGGTTGTATAAAGATTCAGTACGATTGCACGCGCACTCCATGACATCAAGTGCGCGTGCAATTGGACTGGATCTTTATACAACCGCGCTCACAACCGCTTTGCGAATGCGGATCCGCTTCCAGTGTGAATGAGCTGTTGAGCATCAAAGAACGCCGAGAACATAGTTCTCTGCGCTGCACCTGCTGTCGTCTCCAGCAATACTTTTTCTAAAAAAAAAAAAAAAATCTAAAACAAATAGCACGTATATGTTTGCCAATGCATTATTTTTGGAAATTTACTTGGAATCTTTTATATAGATAAAAGGAACGCGTGCTGGAAGGCCTGAAATCCTAGTCCCTTTCGAAGTACTCCGCCTTGGATGGCACATACTTGTTTGAGCATTTTTTTTTTTATCGAGTATGCTCGATGAAATGTGCCAAATGAGCCAGTGAAGGCGAATCATGTATCCCGAGACAGAGAAATAGTGAAATACACGAACATGATCGCAGATATCTGTGTAGGTTCGTCCCGTCCGGCCTGAGTCGTGGTGTGCAATGCTTCATACTTCACTGCACTTGCAAGCAAAAAAATTGGGTACGACAGGAGCGCAAGTTCGGCGGAACGGGCGGAACCGAGGAGGCCACTTGCAACTGAACTGCACGCAGAACTGACCGATCACACCTTTATTGAGAGCACGCTCTTTACTGAACCGCACAATAAAAGACGACAAGAGTATCTCGTCCGACGAACATTCAAGTCAACTCACGCCTGTGCGTAGCTTTCTGTGCTTTTCTAGAGATTTGGTTAAATTCCTCGAGCACGACGCCAGCTGCCAGCTGTTGTTTACTGTTGTACATCGTAAAACCCGCGACGGAACCAAAAAGGACAACCGCGATACTTTTTATCTGCCTCGGGTTTTAGTAGGTGCGTACCAATGTTGCCTGTACTTGTTTGTTTTCTGCCAGTTTAGGCGAAATGAGCCACACGCTTGTTTCGAGCGGTTTAAATTTGAATAAATAATAACCAACGCACAAAGAAAACAAGTTTTAAGTACTTTTTGAGATTTTTGAAGTGACTTTTACTATTAAACGACTGCATGCACTTGAATGTTCAATTCAAGAGTTTATAAAACGTGACTACCCCATGCTTGTCACCTTCCAACAGGGTGCTAACTCTCAATGGCTCGAGCCCAGTGGGTAGTTAGGTAAGCCTGTGGGGTAGTTACAGCCGTCAAAACGCACGATGACTAGGGGGGGTGCTCACTTTTTCTTAGAGTGTAGTCTCCTGTAGAGGACGTAGAAACATCAACACTAAGGCCTTGTTGTCCTGGAGGTGTTGCCTCGGTGCAATGCGTCCCTGTACCGTTTCCCTCGAGGCGTTTCTTACTGGTATGCACACATTGTCTTAGGACACGGGCCGAGGGAGAGCCGGGCACCTAACCCGCTCGGCTTCCTGGGCGGCATATTCGGCCACGTCCCCGGATCGTCGAATCCTGGTCCCGGAGCAGGTGAGCGTATGCGTCGTCATTGCTAAGGCCCCTAGATACTGTAGACCGCCTTTCTAAAAGTAAGGTGCCTGGAACTTGCCTTTAACTAATGAGTTTAGCGTCCTATCCCACCTCATGCACCAAAAGTGGTCTCGAAGTAGCGTTAACAAATGGCGTCACATAAGCTGCCGTGTCATGTTGCCGGATGTCGCGACCCTGGCGGTTGGTGCTAGAAGTTCCGGCAAAAAGTACGAGCGAAAGCGAGTGTCAATGACGTCGCGAGGTTCCAACCTTAGGCTGCTATAGCCGAAGGTCGGACAGTCAAGCTGTGGCCCTATGCTACACGGCGGGACCAAGCGGGACCAAGGGACCGGGGCAACGCCGTCTGCTGCGATTGGTCAGCGGCGTGGCGACAAATCGAACACACACAACCACGAACACACACACACACTAAACGCGCCAGTTATGGGAGATTCGCTGCACTGAATTAGTTTAGCCGATGAAAATACGCGTAAAGGAAGATGATGAATCCCGTGATGTCGTGCTTTGACGCTGTCTCATCGGTCCCATTGGCTCGTAGCGTCGACTGATTTGACTTAAAGGTAAAACAAAGTATAGAGATTGCTCGTAAATCGTGCTGGCCGGTTGATCGTCGACATCGTCTAAATTTCCAGACGATGTCGGCGATGTCAGGACCTAAAAGTCGCGAGAAAGCTTTGCTATATAGTAGGATGACGGCTATTGAAATAAGGCAGAACCAGGTTCTTGTAATCCTGATCGATCACTCCATTATCATGTCTACCACATGCCTCCGTGCCGTAGCTACAGTGTACCGTGGTACTTGCGCCGCTCAGGTCAACCTTCACCTCCTCTCAGCAGCGCGCGCGAGTCGAGCTTCACCGCCTTACACCCGAGTGCATTGTAGGTTGATCTCTAATTTTAAAGAGCGGCACCGGAAAAAAAATGCACGTGTCTATATTAGAATAAACGGTGTAGCTCCTGCGCAACTGTTGATCGACAGAGCAGCAAACTGTGAGTTAAGTATGGTTGCGAAGCCGCTCAAGAGTAGTGCCATATTTAAAGCACGAGTGTAAGCCTTCATGTAAGTTGAATTTTTTTTTTTTTTTGTAGACTGACAAGTTTGGTGGTCGAATTGAGGAACACCGAAAGAATGAGACACGGGTGGTGCGAGGGACTACGTACACTTTCTTTCATGAAAGTGCACGTCATCTCTCGTCACACCTCCTTCCTGTTCTTTCGGTGTCACTCAACCTGGTTGTTTTTACAGGTTATGATATCAGAGTCATTAGTTTAGTAGATTCACAAAACTTGGGGGATGTACTTTGATTAATAGACATGTTAGCGGGTATACTGGGTTTTGCTGGCATTTGACGAAAATTTAATTTACAGGTTAAATAAACTACTGAGTGAAAGAGGGGGAGGAGAGAGAGGCTTTATCCGAACTGAAGTGTTCAGCTGATTAATTTTCCAACAATTTTTAATACCCATATTATGCGGAACGTACAAAGCCTACCAGAGCCTTATTTCTCAAAATAAGGCTTTGTGTTTTTTATTTTACTTTATTTTATTTCCTCAAAGGTATTTCAATTGGGATACATTACATGGGGGGGGGGGGGGGAAATAAATGCAAAATTCAGTGCACAATAATAAAAGGTAAACAGCAAAACAACAACAAAAAAATCACTAATCATACTTTACAAATAGGAATTAGAAATGTCGCGAAATTTATTGGTATTAGTTTCATGGATTGAAAAATTGTAACTGAAACTTTATTGTATTAGTTTCATCCTTTTGCACCCTATGTTTCCTTATTACAAAAGGTAATACGATGCTCCATTATCAAAGAGGAACCCTCAATCCTTATCATAGATTAACTTTATCGAGAAAAAGCGAAAAAGAAACAACACAAAGACGAGTAGAAGAAGTTTCTCGTTATTCCTCAAAGGTTTTGATATAGTCCCGAACCAACTCGCATGCATCGCCACCTTCATAAATTACATTTGGCGATGCAATTCCTTTTTTTTTTCATTGTTAAGTGATATTCTAATAGATGTTGGTATCTGCTCGAAAAGCGTTAGTGGCTGCTCCAAAATAATAATTTGCCTGCTACAGAACCTGCTACAGAGGGTCAAATACCGCTTCCATGAAAGCCATATGACACTTCTTTGACGTCTTCGGGGGAAAATCGTTCAGACGAATTTTTAGGACACATAAAACACGCCCGTCGGAAAAGCATACCAGGCACCATACAAAAAAAAAAAAAAGAAAAGAAAAGCTTGTACGACAACAAGCACGCACGCATTACGAGGCACGTTCTGCGGGTAGAACATGATAGGATCTTCCGGTTAGTTCGGCAATCACGCCAAAAACGTTCCGTTTCTGAAAGCCAGCACCATCGGCACAGCCGGCTCCGCCAATGTTGATGACAGTTTTACCTGCACAAACCACAGAGGGAGCCTTATACTTATATTGAAATCGAATAATTGGGGAGGAAATTCGAGCGTCGCGCCCCCCCGTTGTTTAGTTGAGAACCACATCGATGTTGGCAGCAAAAACATGAATTACCTGTTTGTCGTTTCTAACACAGGGTTCGGCTGACAAAGCCGAACGTTTCGTCAGCGCTCGGCCGGGGCTTGCGTTCAGTCAGCGATGCACGGGTTGAACTCACATGCCATACGCTGAGGCAGCACTCGTGCACAATTTGTGCACCGCGCTCGAAAGAGGTAGATGACGTAAAGAATCCAGTTCATAGGTATAAGTGGCGCTTTGTTTGTCTAGCTAATAATAATGATACGTTTAAACATAATACCTTTATTTTCCATCAAAACGATGGGGGAGGTTGGGTAAAAAAAGCTGTAAAATCAGCTCGACGAGCTCCCTTCCCCCCTCTCCCTCCCCCTCCCCAGAAAATATACACCTAAAGATTACGAAGGCATTCAGTACACTACATACATTCAGCAAAGGCACTCTGCAAAAACAACAAGAACATCATTATACAACAGATTTAAACATAAACAAATTTATGGAGCACAACGAAACAGCACAAATAATGAAACGCTAAAAAAATTAATTTTTGAAATATTCATTGCATATTGCAATTTTTTCAGAGATTCATTAAGCTTGGAAGTTTACGTTTTATCATTTCTTCTCCGTAACCTGCTTTGCACGAATAAATGTTCCAAACATCGGTGATACGTGTGGGATTTGTGACCGTTTTTCTAAATAAACGGGCTACTCGAACAAGAAAATGCGTATGATTTAATGTTTCGTGCTTATAGACTAAGCTTAAACAATAAGCATACATGTTGTGAATGTACGCTATACAATATTTCTGAACCCTAATGCAAAATATTTTATGTATCAGAATTTTCTTCGTCCAATACACACTTATGATTAAATTAGATCATATAAGACCAAACAAGAACCTTATAAGAGCATATAAGAACAATATAAGGTTACCTATATAAGAAGTTATGAGAAACTTCTTATCAGTTTATATACCTTATATATTTTTATAAGGTGCCTTGTATGTTCTTATGTTATCTTATTTAATCATATGCATTTACTGGACCAAGAACGTTTTTATACATTTAAGATTTTTTACTAGGGAAACCGTTGCGAAGAGGGGTGGTTATCTGAAACGTTTTCTATATTCACATTTTTTGGAACATATGCAATTTTTGTAAGTTCTTGAGAGGGGTATTTCCCCACACATTAAAATGACAGTATTTAAGTGCGAATAAAATAACGTGTTGTATAGAAGAAGTTTGACAGTAGTAGGTAAAGTGTGGCGATATGTATTTTGTTAAGCCTACGATGTTTGATAGTTTTGACGCGACGCAGTTTTTATGATCGTCCCAAGTCATCCGATTTTTCAATAACACACCAAGCGTTTTAAAGACGTTGACTATTCCTATTTTTGAGTTACACACCATGATATCTTTATCGACACATATACCTTTTTTGGGGGGCGAAAGAGAATGACTTTTGTTTTATAAGTGTTTATTTTTAACGCATTAAATGTAGTCCGATTTTCCAAATCTAAAAGGTGTTTATTCGCATTTGTAATTAGTTCGGAAGGACTTTTACCTGAAAATAATAATCTGGTGTCATCTGTTCATGATATCGTTCAAATATATATTAAATAAAAACGGACCGAAAATCCTTCCTTGGGGCACACTTGATAAAATTGGATTTATGTTGAAAGAATGACCATCTAGTTGCAAATTTTGTTTTCTACTGCGTAAATACGACGTTAAGAGCATCGAAGCTTCGGTGCAAAAACCATACCTATAAAGGTTCTTTAAAAAATGTCGTGATTTAATTAATCGATCGCTTTCTTGAAATCTACAACAAAATACCGAGAGTTAATTCTTTGTGTTCAAACTATTTTAGGATAAATGCTTTCTGTCCCAATAGAGAGTGTTTGTTTCCGAAAATCAAATTGTGCTGTATTAGGCATAGAACGCCTAACGCAGAAAAGGAACATTCTCCAGAAAATTACCTTTTCCACTCCTTTTGATAAAAAAAAAAAAAAAAAAAAAAAAAACAGCAGATAATATCGAGACAGGTATTTAGGGACACAATTTTTTTTTTATTCAAGACTAATTTTTGCGGCCTGGATTCGCCTAGGGTAGGCTCCTTCTAATAAACAGATGTTAGATATATACCTTAAATGGTGATATCGAATGTAAAACATATTTCACAGGCTTAATCTTGATACCGCCATTGCTATTCAACCCCCCAAAAACAGACGTCACCTCAGCATCAAGAACTGGGTTCAGAAATAAATATATCCAAAATAAATCCATATAACTAAAATCATTACTATCAAAACCGTCTCTAGCTGTAGGCAAACAGATTTTTATAACTGATTTTGATTTGTTACTGCGGTGCAGGACATAATTTAGTTTCCTCCAAGTAAAATCTTCCTCATTTGCACACCTGGAGAAAAACATACAAAAATAACAAAGATAATCCCTGGAGAAAGACAAGAGGGA